TCAAAGTTAGGTTCCAACAGTTCCACTTACACTCAATAATGAACGTTTCTTGTCAGAGTTAAGTTACACAATTCTACTCAAACTCTATGATGAGCATTTCTTGTAAGTGTTAAGTTCCAACAGTTCTATCTACACTCAATAATGAACGTTTCTTCTCAGAGTTAAGTTACACAATTCTACTCAAACTCTATGATGAGCATTTCTTGTAAGTGTTAAGTTCCAACAGTTCCATCTACACTCAATAATGAATGTTTCTTCTCAGAGTTAAGTTACACAATTCTACTCAAACTCTATGATGAGCATTTCTTGTAAGTGTTCAGTTCCAACAGTTCCATCTACACTCAATAATGAATGTTTCTTGCTAGAAACTGGAAACAGCAGTTCTACTTATTTTCAGTAATGAACGTTTTTAAATTACAGCAGTTATGCCTATACTTAAATACATGTGTGGAAATGCCATGTCTTTCCTGAAAATTATTGAGCCCCCGTTGCTTAAACTCACGTATCTGCTTTAATTATTAATTTCTACATTGAAGAGATAACCTCAAAGTTTGTAATTGCTCTATATGTAAGCTACGAAGATAATCTTGCCCCTCCCTCTCTCATTATCATACGGACACCAGTTCAAAAAGTTCGTCTAATTGAAATATATAATGGAACATACTGGTGACTAAAACGTTTAAAGAACAAATTAAAAAACAATCATCCAAGTGTATGTGGAATAACTATATAACGACGTGTTAAACGTTAAGGATGTCCACAGCAATAGCTGTAGTGGACATGACAACGCTAAGCATTTCTTCTTCATGTGTGCAATGAATTGTCAAATAGCAGTACTTTTATTAATCTTCTTTTAATCGAGATATCTATCTAACTACCATTCTGTACACATCTGCTTGCGAGTGTACAAGAACTTATTTTAACGAAACTCACAAATATCACCGAATACTTGATAGAACATCAAAGTCAGGAGGGCCCGGCATGACCAGGTGGTCAGGGCGCTCGACTCGCAATCTGTGGGTCGCGGGTTCGAATCCCCG